CCACTGAGCCATCTCACCAGCCTCCATGAGCTTGTTTTTAATAAAACACCTGTAAAATCATCAGAGCTGGGTGTGGTGGTAGATGCCTATATTCCCTCAGGTAGCTGAGCCAGGAGGATCTCCGGGAGTGCTAGGCCAGCCTGGGCTGCACAGTTAAGCCACCTTGCACTGCATGGTGAGACCCTGTTTCAAAACAGAAAACAAAAGTCATCTGGATCTGTATTTTCCTGATACTGCTAGTAAGCCTGTGCAGTTGTCTCTTAGGTTCTGAAACGAGCACTGATGGAGGTTTTTCCTCGTAGAGTATTTCATGGTTTAAAATAATTAAGAGAGCAGCCTTTCCTGCTAGCAGTGGTTGTCAGTCATGGCCGCAGCTGTTTCACCTACATGCCCTCATTTTTTCCACTCAGGTTTCAGCTACATTGTTTTATTCATCAATGTTTTGATATGTTTTTAGAAAATAAAGATTGTTCTCAGGTTTTAGTTTTTACCAGCCCATGTTTGCGGAACATAATGATCACCGCACGCCTGTGTGTGTGCATTGTGTATCTCAGTTTTCATCTGCTCCTGCTCCCTTTCCTCCTGCTTTGGATTCTGTTATCATTATTATTATTATTATTTTAATGTATTTAGTTGTTACGGGGTCTCACTATGCAGCTCGGACTCGTGGTGATCCCCCTGTCTTAAGCCTCCCCAGCACTCGGATTGCAGGCATGCCCCACCACTTGCGGACTCTGTGACCGGCTCAGCAAGCTCGGGGACTGGACTGGTGCCACATGTGGTGCCAAGGCTTGAACCACGGTCCCTGTGCTTGCCTAAGCAGGCACTTCAGTCTGCAGAGCTATCTTGTGGGCCTCTGGCAAACAATTCTTTTTTTTTCCCCCCATAATGTTATTGAGAAACAAATAGCAATGAGACAGTTTCAAACCAAATTGGTAGGACAGTTTCAATAATCAACACATTGCATACATTCTTCCCAGTGGTTAATTGCTGTACAAGATGCAGACTTGAGATCCTATTTACAAACACCATTAGAACAAATCACTCTATTCATTAAGAGAATGCAACTATATATCTATCCTAACCACTTTGAATACACAGATGCAAAATGAACATTCATCTGTATCCCCTTTTTTTGTTAAGTTCTGTTATTTGAATATTATAGATGTGTAGATTCAGCAAAATATTCTAAAACAGTCCAGTAGCCCATAATAGTATTGGGTCTTCTGCTTCACTGGCAATGTCAGAAATTGTTGACCTGAGTCCCCTGTAGCTCAACATAACACCATGGCTTTACATCTTATGCTTCATTTTGGAAAAATATGGAACGCTTCACGAATTTGCATGTCATCCTTGCGCAGGGGCCGTGCTAATCTTCTCTGTATCGTTCCAATTTTAGTATATGTGCTGCTGAAATGAGCACCGGCAAGCAATTCTTGAAAGAAGTAGTCCACTGACTTCCTGTTGCCCCTAAAATAAGGAACAGCAGTTCCTTCTTACTGGTTTTCAGTATTCATGCTCCTCTGATTACTCTTAAGATTAGGATTCATACATGGTCTCCCTATACAGTGGTCCTTCACTTGTTGCAGAGGTTACGTTCCAGACACTCCTGCAATATGTGAAAACCAGCGAAGTAGAGACATTGTATTTCTTTTAGTATATGTATGTGTATATATATATGTATTAAAAAATATATATGTATTAAAAATATATATATTTTAAGGCTTTCTAAACCCTTCCCACACTCTTATAAACCTTTCCCACACTTTTAAGCACTTCTAATGTTCATAACCATTTTCTAAACTTGTAAACCTATGTAATTTTAACAACAAACATGTACTGTATGGTATTGCAAACTCTCATGATACAGCGAAAAATCCATTATGAATAATTTAGATTAATATTTTTTTGAAAACTTGTGTAACAGTGAATCTGCGAAAGTCAAACCGCAAAATAGCAAGGGACTACTGTACCTGGATTGGTTGATACATTTCTTTAGATGTTTTTATTTGTAGATCCTTTATTTTTTTATTTATTGCAAATTATTTTTTGAAGATGGGATAATTTCCCTTTTGAATTTTCTTTTCATGTTCTGCAGTTGGGAATTACTTACCTGTAGGAACATTTAATATTTTTTTCTTAAGATGAATTTATGACAAGAAGGTTTTACCTTGTAAAACAATATATATTAGGCATATGTACTATACAATAATGTGATGCTACATTTTAGATAAGAAACTGAGTAGTGGTATTATCATCTCATTGGGAGAGCTCTTCCAGCTACACTGTAGGAAAATGCAAATATTGCTTCTTGCCTTTTTGGCTAAGATCAAGTGAAGAAAATGCATATAAAATAACTTGCCATTTTAGTCTGGTAAATTTGATTTAAAAAGTTTTTAGGGCGGGCAAGATAGCTCAGTGGTCCAAAGCGCCTGCTTAGCAAACCTTAGGCAGCCACAGGGTACGGCAGTTCCATCTCTGGCACCACATGCCATGCTAGCCCTACCCTCGGTGGGCAAGCTGACCGCCCCCCACCAAAAAAAGTTTTTAAATGACAGATTTCACTGTTGTAGAGATTATAAAAAAACTGTTATGTTTTGGAACCTAGAAAGAATTTATGTAATCCTCTTTAAAATATTTAGGACAAGTTCTACATCTAATTAAGAATCATTGAAATATGTATTTAGTAATTTTATTTCCTTTTTTATATTTTGGGGAAGGGTTTATAGGGTGTTCACGGTCTCACTACTAGATTGGACTCACAGTGATTCTCCTGTTTACAGCCTCCCAAGTGCTGGAATTACAGGCCCATGCCATCACACCCTGTCTTCATGTCTCAGGGTGTCCAGGGGGCAGGGCTGGCAGGGCAGGCCTGGGGATTGAACCCCAGGCCCCTGTGCCTACTTGCAGGCACTTTAATTCACTGAGCTATTTGGCCAGCTCTAGTAATTTTATTTCTTGAAATTTAGCCTTACAATTAACATAATGTTGAATTATATAGGAAATATTAAATAAAACTAATTGTCCTATAGTGGGAATGATTTTATTAAGTTGTTAGAATGACATAATTCTCTTTTTTTCCTTTTATCTTTTATTTATTTATTCATTTGGTACAGGGTCTCACTACGCAGCTCAGAATCATAGTGATCCTCCTATCTTAGCCTCCTCAGCACTGGGATTACAGGCATGCACCAACATGCCCAGTTTTGGTGGCCAGCACAGCACACCCAGGGTTCTGGGGCCGGCACGGTATGCAGTACTGGAGATTGAACCTGGGTCCTTGCACTTTCCAGGCAGGTGCTTAGACCATCAAGCTGTCTCCCTGGCCCTGAATGACAATTCTTTTGAAAAATACTTATTTACAAACTATGGCATAGGATCTGTGTTGGGGGCAGGGGATTCTGGGGTCAAACCCTGGGCCTCACGCATGCAGGCTCTGTGCTACACCCTGGAGCCATGCCTCTAGCCCTGAAAAATGCTTTCATAGAATTTCCCTTCTCAAGTGTACACAGAGAAAAGTAGATGGTTATGTTGTGTGATTTTCAATTTTTTTTTTTAGTAAAACTTTTGGGAAATTATTGTATCTATGTTTATTTATATTTTATGTGTTCTTAAGTTCATTTCACAAATGCAGTATTCTTGGTATCTTTTCCTAGAACTGGGATGATGTGCTGCTTTTCATGTCTGTCTGTGAAAATATATACTTCTGGGTTTGTTTTTTCAGAATTGAAATATACTGTCGTGAACTGACAGAGAGGTTTGAAGATGTTTGGATAGTGTCTGGTCCTTTGACCTTACCTCAGACTAAAAGTGACGGAAAGAAGACAGTTACTTATCAGGTAGGGATCTGTAACGTTCGGGGTTCTGGGGCTGGGGAGATGGCTCAGTGGAATAAGTGCTTCCCTGGCAAGCACAAGGGCAGCCTGAGTTCAATCCCCGGTTCCACAAAAACAAAAAACAACAAAAAAAAACCATTCGGGCTTCTGTTATTTGTGTGAAGTTCTAATCCTATTTTGTGTTCTACTTTCTAACTTCATTTATTCAGCAGTATTTATTAAGCATCTATTGTGCTGTAAGCACTGAGAATATGGTGATAGGCTCAAAGCAGCCATTGACTTCTCTGGAGCTCATAATTCAAAAAGGGGGCCAAACATATTAGCAATAAAGTACTTTAAAGTATAATACTTTGTAGTTGAGGTTAATGCATAGGTGAAAAGTACTGACGAATTACTCGTGTGAGTTCTAAGGCTTAATGAAGGACTAAATATTTCAGCTAGATCTTGATAGATAAGTAGAGTAAAATGAATCAGGAGGGGAACATGGCAGTTCCAAAAGGTGGGACAGTAGGGCCAGGATGTGTGTGGCCAAGAGCTTGGCTGTAGGGTTTATGTGTCCTTCGTAGCCTGGAGCTCATGGTACAGGAGAGGGCCCATGAGCGGGATCCCTATAGCAGGCAGGACAGGGCCAGATAATAGATGACTTAGTATTCTAGGATCAAGGCACTGCGAAGCCATAGTTTGTTTTCAGCCTGGTGAAATGTGATTTGTTTTGGCTTTTCTGGTTGCATTGTGCAGAAAGGTAGGTGAGAAAGGGACATTAATAAAAGAGATTAGACGTAAGAAATGAGCAAGCACTTTTCTGTAGTAGTCCACATGAGGACAGGTAAGGGCCAGACATTTGGCAGGATGAGAGAAGAGGTGTGCAGGCGAAAGTAACCTTGGGTGAGGAAGGAGGAAAAGAGCTAGCCTGCAAGGAGCTGAATACAGGGGAGGTGTGGTGGATTGACGGGTGGTCACTGGGTAACACCCAGCTGAACAGAGTCAGCGTGGTGTGGAAGGCCCACCTGAAGATTGCTGCCAACAGCTTGAGAGGAGAACTGCACGGGAAGAGGGTGTGCTGTTGATTCCCCTGGAGAAGCTTGCCACACTAGTTTTCCTGATATGAACTTAACTGTTTCACTGCTGCTGAGGATAGCTGTGGTTCTTTTTAGGGGAGCACTTGTTGTTACTGTGAGCGTCGCTTCCTGGCTCCAGTACAGGTCCCTCAGCCTGCTGGCACAGAACCTTCACCCCACTTGCGCAGACTTTCTAGCTTCCACCACTGTCCTTTGGGGCTTCCCAGTGCAGATATCTCAATACAGACTTGCATGAGGCATTGTTGTGGGCCCTAGGCCTCCAGCTGGACTCCAGGAGGACGTTGCTATGGGCTCTAGGTCTTCAGCTGGACGTATAGGACGTTGCCATGGGATCCAGGGCCTCGGCTGGATTCTTTGGATCACTAATGTGTGGACAGATCTGCTTCTTCTGCATTTGACTCTTTGGGCAAATACTATAAAATAGTCTGATTAAGTATGTTTCTTATATTAATTCTGTTGTCTTGCCACCCCAACTACACAGGAGGAAAATATTTTCCTTGAGAAATTTGAATTTTTAAAAGATGAAGTTGCTTTTTACATGCAGTATGCTCGAGCAGCTTTATAGACAGAAGGAAAGAGAAATTAGAGGTGTAAAAAAGTGTGCTTAGTAGTACGAAAGCTTCTGATGTTGCTGGGGAATTCTTAGGCAGCTTACAAAGGAATGTACCTGAAGGGCAGGCATTTACCTGAGACGTGGCATGCTGGCTGTCACCATGGTGGACAGACAGCTGAGGTTCCTGCCAAGGTGATGACTGAAGTGACACACCACACCCTATACCAGTGGTGGCGGACCTATGGCACATGTGGCACAGTGGGTTGTCTGTTATCATTGAAAGCTCTGAAAGGTCTGCCCCACTGTCCTATTCAGTGAGGTCTACATGGAGTAGAGGACAAGGTGGACTGAAGAAGAGGCACCAGAGGAAGTAAAAGAGGGATTGCGGGACTTGGTGGGAAAGTCCTCGAGGAAGTGTACCTGGAGGGAATGACTAGATACTTGGTGAGTGCGGGTTAGGTTAAAGGACCACTGAAGAAAGTCTATGATACAGTTCTGTAACCTGAGGATCAGACTTAGGAAGGCACACAGACTTCGGAGTGCGCTGTCCTGCTCAGTGTGTACTTAGCCTGTCTGGGCCAGATGGGTCGTGACGTGTAGATGTTGATGAATATCCCAGAAATTATTTTCTTTTTTTTGCAGTATCGGGGATTGAACTCAGGACCCTGAGCTTGCCAGGCAAGTGCTTATTCTACTGAGCTATCTCCCTGGCAAAAGTTTCTTTCTTTCTTTCTTTTTTTTTTTTTTTGGTGGAACTGGGAATTGAATTCAGGCCCTTGTGCTTGTCAGGCAAGCACTTATTCTATTGAGCCGTCTCCCCAGCCCACAAGAAATTATTAATCTAGGTACCTTTATTTGCTAGGTGGAAGTGGTAGAAAAGTTGTTTCTAAGGACCATCACAGGAATTATTTGTGGGTATGAAGCAGGCAAAGAAATCAGTATTTTTATTTTTTAAAAAAATTTTAAAAGTTATTTATTTATTTATTTATTTGGTACACGGTCTTGCCTCGCAGCTCAGACTTGTATGTAGAGATCTTCCTGTCTCAGCCTCCACAATGCTGGGATTACAGGTGTGCACCACCACACCCAGCTTTGGTGCTGGCATGGCATTCAGTACCACGGAGCCATCTCCATAGCCCCAGGAATTAGTATTTTTAAAGTAATCCAGTTTATATCTCTCCTTTCATTAATTTCTCTCCTCTGGTCAACTTGCTAATTTAATTTTAGCATTTAAAAAATAATCTTAGAAAAAATGGCTGTCTATATTTTCTTGTTTCAAATGTCAGTTATTCTGGGGCTTTGTTAAATTTTATACTCTCATTACTAGAAGAGTCTCTTTGGCTTAAAAACATGACAGTTTTATGACATGACATTACAGTTTTATATGTGCTTTGTTTTAATAAAATTGAAACACTGAGTTGACTAGTTTACTGCAGAGGAGGAATTTCACACAAAATTCGGAAGGAAAAATTATGTAATAGTTCAGAGTATTTCACTGCAGTTTTTTGTGTGGATGTTTCTGTTAATTGTTCTGTTAAATAATGTAGTAGAACATATTGTTTCTCTTACATTGGATAGAATTTTTAAAAATACAACTTACAAAAATATACCTTCAAGGGGCTGGGGAGATGGCTCAGTGGAATAAGTGCTTCCCTGGCAAGCACAAGGGCCTGAGTTCAATCCCCGGTTCCACAAAAAAAAAAAAAAAAAAAAAAAAAAAATAAATAATAATAATATATATATATATATATATATATACCTTCAAGTTTTTTCTATTAAGAGGGCCTAGAAGTACCGATATACTATTATTTATGAGCATACTTTGAGGCCAGTGTTACTGTTTTGTTTTTTTTAAATGTATATTTAGTACAGGGCCTACAGGGTCTCACTATAAAGATTGGACTCATAGTGATCCTTCCTGTTTTCAGCCTCCCAAGCACTGGGATTTTAGGCACGCACCACCATACCCAGTCTCAATCACTATCTCAGCACACCCCAGAGGCTGGGCCAGCATGGCATGCTGGGGATCGAACCCCAGTCCCTGCATCTCCCTAAGCAGGCACTTTAATCCGCTGAGTTATCTGGCCAGCCCCATAGGCCACATTTTAATTTCTAGAAATTACCTCCTGATGGATGTGGTGGCACACATCCTAACAACTTGGGAAACTGACCCAAGAAGATCACAAGCTCAAGGACAGCATGGCCAGTTTAGCAAGATCCTGTCACAAAAATAAAATTTATGTCAAGCGTGGTGGTGCACATTTATAATCCCAGTACTCTGGAGGCTAAGGCAGGAAGATCACTGCAAGTTTGAGGCCAGCCTTGGCTGCATAGCCAAGCCCTGTCTTAATAAAAAAACTTTAAAGAGCTGGAGTCATAGCTCAGGGATAGTGGTGTTGTCTAGCAAGCATGAGACCCTGAGTTTGATCTTTAACACCACCCTCATAATTTCTTAATCTCTTGCTAAAAAGACTCAGCACTTTAGAGAAATGGCTGATTCTAGTGTTGGCACAGGGAAAGCACAAAATGGAATATCTGCCAGAAAGCGAAGGAGTATTCAGATGGCTGGTCCAGACCTGTTAGAGGAACATAGAAATCAGCCTGAAGGAGCACTCATTTACCATATCTGGGACTGTTTGCATAACAAAATAAAGTGGGCTCTAAACCTAGAGAATTAAGAGTCTGTAATACTAAGTACATATGTGGGGCTACAAGGAGAAATCATGCGCACTATAGAGTGTGAATAGTAACTTCACAAGAATGAAATTTTTGAAAATTGCTTTGCAGATATAATAGTAATAGATGATCCAGGCGGAAATCAATGGATGCTAAAACTAGTGCCTGGAAGTTTTATGAGCAATAGGGCATGAGCAATAGGGCACTTACTTATTCTTAAATTACTTTCTCATAGGTAGCTCATTAATCACAAATTGAGAAATGATCACAGTTTAAATACGCACACACACACACACACACACACACATCCTTTCTGTATCAGAGCTCCTATTACATTGGGATATCTAAAACTATGAAATAGAATTAGCTTGGGTCTCTTAGTTTATCAGTGAATAGCATTCCGGTGTGCTCAAGTAGCTGCGAGGAGTTGTAATACACCTGCCTGCTGTCCCGGTCAGTGTCATGAAGGTCAGTTAAGTTCAGCTTCCTGAAGAGTGTATTCTCCATAAGTCTTGCTCTTTGTTTTTACTTTAAAGCCTTACTGGTAGTCTAGATCTTTTATCCCTCTCAGATCCTGGCCTCTGAGCCCCTCTCGCTAGCTTTCCTTGTGTGTGTTAAGTTATGGGACCTGTCTGTGCTCACCCTGGCAAATCGTTACTTTAGCAAATCTTCAAGTATCTATCAAGTGGTAGGAA